TTTCTGTCTTAATTGGTAATTAGTGACCTAAAATTGCCACATACCATAGGCATTTGTACTGACCTCAATTAAGATCCACAAAATTAGAAGAGGAAGAAGCCTATTTGGTCACTTACTCTATCCTTCAAAGTGCATTTATTATTCACGGTGTGTGACAGGGAATATAAGTGTAGGATATGACTGAGAACACCGCAGGTAATTCGACTTTGAAATGTAAATACAATTAATGAGTATACCTGTCTTCCCCCAGGATCTGTCCTTGCCTGCTTCATCATCCTGACTTCTTTCTTTCTTCTCTTTGATAAGGCTTCTGATTTTCTTTACTTCCTTCTCACTCAAGACTGAAACTTTTTGCAGAAGAATTTCAAGAAAAGCACAGAAAATATTCCATGGATTTCTCGAAACACATGCTTTACTAGCATGCCTTTCAGATTTCATTGTGACCAGGAGCGTGTTAAGAGTTGCCTTGATAATTTGGCACTATAAATCATTTGACATGAACATACTATCACAAGTTTAAAAAAGAACACCAGCTTGCTTGCAGCGAAAGCCCACATTGGCAACATTTAGCTACAGCGAAACTGTGCCATGCACTGGCTGTCACAGACTGCCAACTAAAAGCCACACATTTAAAACAGCAAAGTAAATTGTCCCGGGTTAAACCAAGAAAAATTATTTGGAGAAACGCTGGGTCAACCAAGAGAGGGAACAACACAGTAGGTCTCCAGTTCTCAATCTTCAATTGCCCCCTTACCAAAATTTGTTCTTTGTAACTGTATACAGTGGCTTGAAAAGAGGTCAAAATCACCCAAGAAAGACCAACACTACTCCATGTCTTGGGACAGGACTGGAGATCAGCTCCAAGAAGGTGCCAGGACAGAGGTGGTGGCTGCTAGGATAAACACAGATGGACCAATGGTGAAGTTAAGTGCTTGTATTATCTGGTGCCTTCCTCCTGTTTCAGAGACGCGAAACTCACCTCCACTGAAATACCACCTAACGCTCAAATGATTGGGACAGTATCTACTAACTCCAGAGTTGCTGAAACAGACTATACAATTTCTTCCAGAAATTTAGCACTCAAACTGTACACAATTGCAGAAGAGAATTTATTATAGGAATGTTTAACTATTTAATAGGATCAATTTTTAGACAAGCAAAGCATCTACCACTTTAAAATGAGAATACAAACAAACAAAACAAAAAACAAACAAAACCAAACAAACAAAAACCCTGGGGTTGGCACCAGCTGTCCAAGTTAACTTGGACAGAAAATAATTTCAGTTTTGGTAACAGAGAAAATTCTGAGTCAATTGCCCAGTGTGTTGAAGTTAATGGCAAACTATTTTAATCTTGGTTATTTTTTGATATGCAACTAATTCCTGACATGCAACTTGCATGATATACTATTGATTAGCCTTCAGGGCACATTCAGCAAGAGAGGTTAATTTCTTTTGCATGCTTAAACATTCACATTCCTTCCCTCCTTAGGGAATGTCATAATCAAGAGAAGTATTTTGGCCTTCAAGAACTAGAAGCACATTTGACTGTGGCCAACTTTCATTCAGCAGACTGCTACTCTGGGGTTTGGTTGAAACAAATTCACCCAGCATTGTTTGTGAAGGAAAAAAAAAAAAAGTTAAGCAAGAGGACTAAAGGTTGCTCAGGCATATCACATCTCTTTCCAACAAGACAAATTACAGCTATTACTTTATATCAATGAACTGTAATAATCTGGAAGGAAAAATTGTGATACTGAGCTCTTATCTACCTTACTTTCTACCTTCTGATAATCAGGGTACTTCAGTGGCAGAGAAGGGGACATTCCTCATGCCAGCTTTGTTCATTTGAATTTATTCAATAAAATACACTTTTTAAATCAGTCTTCCAATCAGATGTTTACTGCGATTAATGCTCAAGGAGAGTTGTTTACCAGGGATGTCTAAAAACAATATGATTTTTAAAATTACGTTCCTCACAGGAGTTAATGTTTGGACTTCAGAAATGGAGAATAAAGCGCGAGTGTATCATTTGCCCTTTTCACAGCCATCTTTGTAGAGCAGATTCAACAGAAGTAGCTGTTGCCTTTAGTTTCTTTATCATTTTTTTTAAAAATCAGTTTCACCTTTGGCTTTCTGTGCTAGCACAAAGCTGACTCCTCTGCAACCTCTTAGACTTGTTCAGTGCTTAAGTCCTACCCAGGAGGGAGCAACTTGGAGTTTTCATTCGGAACTAGCAGGAGGTATCAGTGGATGAAAGCAAAGGTAATCCTCTCAGCATGCAATTCAGAAACAATTCTAAGCAGGTCTCAAAAGATGAAATCAGCTGAGGAAACAGATCATCTAAAGGTTGGTCCGGGGCTATTCAGTGTTTCAAAGTCTATCTGCACTGCTGCTACCACCTGATCTGTGAAGGTGTGCAGCGCTCAGTGTAGGTCCAGCACAGCACTGTCACTGGGCTGTGTGTGTGCAGGCTCAGTTGGATTAGAAGATCTTAGAGGTCTCTTCAAACCTAAATGATTCTATGATTCTGCTTTAGGCTGCAGAGACAGCTGTGCCCACCCCAGGACACCCTTCGCTTGCCAGCCTAAGGTTCTGTATTTTTGGTAAAAGGGAATACCACAAGGGGAAAAAATTACTCCTTATTTCTGACAGTCCCCTTCTCATACATTCCTATCAGCTCCATTTGCCAGTGGCACAGCACACACAAGGGAGTGGGAGGCTACTGGCCCTTGATTCCTCCAGCACAGTTCAGCACCTGTTCTCAGTCACACTGTCTCTGAGGAAAAACTGCAGCTAGCGATGAAGGAGGGGAAGCAGCACCCAAGTCAGTTAGCCTCTAAAAATCTTCCCAAAAAGCACTGATCCATTATCACAGAATCTCTCAAGGTGGAAGTGACCCCTAAGGATCATCAAATTTAATTCCCTGCTCCTCCCAGGACTAATTTAAACTAAACACGATGCAAAACATCATCCAGACACACCTTGAGCTCTGACAGGCTTGGTTGCATGACTACTTCGCAGGGAGCTTGCAATGGATACTAAGGCAAAATTTCCTGAAAAATTATGAGGCAGGAAAGACATGTGCAAAGTCTTACGAGATATTGTGTTTAATTTTGTGTTCTACACTGCGGAAGACAAAGAGGCAGGAGTAGGGTCACCAGGGGAAAACGCTGGCTCTCAGGAATAACGACAGCTATTTTCTCTCTCCGAAAACCCCGGTCATTGTTCCTTTTTTCCATCCTTGGGTACTTCTTGATTTATTCCAGTTAGAACAGGATAAAAATGAAACTTCAACAAGAGGCAGCAAGAACTCCTACAGAGATTCATATTGGGGTTTCAAACTCCTCAACAAAGCTGCTGAGGCCTTTTGGAACAGGAAGTTGCTCCTGCCTCCCCACCCTCCACAGCTACACTGTCCCTGTGCATTTCAACCGTATTTCACAACCCACTACATACATTCCTGTTCTCCCATCTTAGCTTTTGGGGTTGGTTTTAGCATTTCATTATCTTTTGGACTCACTTTTGCTTCAGCACCTGCTACACTTGTAAAGGTTGCCCAGCTTTTAGAAAATAGTAAGATGAGGCTCCTGAAAGTGGGGCAGTTTGTACATGCAATAATTATGCTCCCTTCACCTTTGTGCTCTTCTCTATAATGGATTCGAGTATTCATTGCCACTAGCACTGACTGATGTTTTTCCAGAATCTCTGACAGTCAAAACACTCACAATCTGAAAAGTTACCAGTGCTGGGTTTTGGGTGAAGAGCATATGGAAGAAAAAATTCCCTCTTCTACTTCTTCAGAACAGTTCAACATGAAGCAGGACAGCACAGTTTGAACCCAAAGGCAAGCTGTGCATTAACACCACACATGGAACAGTCAAATTTCCAAGAACAGCAGCAACACTGCCACGTGTGGGATTATGCTGCCTTTTGTATATTTTAAAGGGGAGGACAGAGTTACTAATAACTAGTGAGATTTTTTTATCAATTGCCAGCAGGTAGGCCCTAGCTTTCCAAAACAACTGCCATTATGCGTAACTACCTCTAACACAAAAAGCTTCAAATATTAAATCCTTTCCTGGAGAAAAAGAGTAGGGGGAAGGGAAGAGGAAACAGTACTTAATTCACTTTAGTTTTAAATATTATCTAATAATAGCCTAAATTAGCACAGTGAAGTAATAACAG